GGATGGCAGTGACATGACATAGAAGTAAAGCTTTTCATTTTCACTTTTAGACTGATTCTAGCAAACGCACCACAGTCATCTTTATGAATGAAAACGAGAGATGTCCATCTCTCAGTACCAGGAAACCTGGTATCTTGTTGATATTTGAAAACAGAAATCTCTGTGTAGGACAAGCATGGGGAGAACTCAGCAGAGGTGATAGGACACAAACACTTCCTACACACTCAGCCTTTCTTAGGACAGGTGGTAACTGTTCTTTCAAGGAGTAGTGGCTTGAGTAGGAAACATTAGATGTCAAAAAAATGAATAAAGTACTATTGCATGCCCTTATCAGACCCACAGACTTGCTGACAACTTGCTAAGTATGCTCTACAACAGGTCTTAGTCCCCGAACAGAGAGGGGCAAATATTTGCCCAAAGGTCTGAGCTACATTAAATCATCTAAAAAACCTACAAGTCTTGAGTGTAAAGTAGGTTCCTTTTATCTTCAAACTGATCGTTAAGCTCATCTTTGATTTTTCATCGTAATTCTAGGAATTATCATTTCCCCAAATTTAGAAATGTATATTCAGTTAGCTTTTGTTTGCTGATGACAGTATCTGTCTGTTTCAAAGGCAACTCTTATCTCTCCCAAACCCAATTCCATTTTGCTACTTTTAAACCACCACAGTTGGTTATATTGGCCTCTCATAAGCCTCAGAGCACAAAAAAATTGGAGTTTGAATATCACCATCACTTTTAGGGGATGATTTTTAACTTACTGAAGAAATGACCTGGAGAAAGACTAAGCTAAGTAATTTTATTTAAAAAATTTTAGAGGGAGTAAAGAGGTTAAGGCATAGACCACAGCTGTTTACAAATCAGGGCAGAGCTCATCAAAGCTTTGGTTGCAAGTCATTCTAAGAAAAATATAATTTCATTGCAAAATGTTGTTAAAACAGATGAAGATTTCTTAACTCATTAAAACAGCATTTTACTTTAATACAACCATAAAAACGCTTAAGTTCACTGGTGCAGAACCAAAGCAGAAAGAAACATGAGCTCGAACACAACATCTCTGGTCAGTCAAAACCAAGCGTGAACTTTGATTTTTCTCCTGCCTAGAGAAAGCCAGCTCACCCTTTCCCACTGAAAAGCACCTGGCTGCTCAACAGCAGCAACAACCCCACTTTCATCCAACTCCAAAAAGCACTTTGTATGTAAAAAGCACTGCTTGCAATGTCTAATGCATTCCTGTTTGAAGAGAAACATAAAGCAACGTGACTGCTATGTGCTTTTTAACAAGTTTGAAAGCCAAGTAGCTCGACCTGGGAATACCAGATGGACCTTGAGGCTTTCCAGCCGTGCTCTTTACCAAGCTGCTTCCAGCACCAAGTCTTCAATAACGCGTTATCATCAGATAACTGTCTAAGGGGCAGTTAAGCTCCTTAAATGAGGCACAGGTCACTTCACACACTGAAAGGGTCAATTAGTAACTTATGTTGCCACTTAATTGCTACAAGGAGCTCCTGAGAAAGCCAGTTTGCATGCTGCTCCAGCTACCCTTTGCCTCTAACTACGATTAAACCAGTTCCCAAGTGGATCAGAGTTACCGCAGGTCCTTTCTCACTCCACTCACCCATGGTCTCTGCAGCCTGTATGTTTTCATATCCAAAAGAGCCGTTTCCTTCCAGGTCTGCACTGCAGTGCGAAGGGCTCAGACTGCTTTGTACTGTACAGTGCCCAAATCTCACGAGCGCACCCAGAGGCTCTCTTGCAACTCTTTTTTCATGGGGGGGGGGGGAATAAATTAAAAAAATAAAATCACAAATTCCTCTATGACACTCATTGCAAATTTAATACTATTCCTACTTTATTTTAGGGAGTTCCGTTGAGTCAGAGGGATTTTTTCTACAACTTTTTACAAAAGCACCCCGAACTTTTGCTGTTCCATTCATTCATAAGAGTTCAACTCAGCTTGCATTTACACCTCACTAGGGTTTTACAATTAAATGAGACTAGCTGATTAGCCTCGCATTTCAACCACTGAGCACGCAGAGCCGGGGAGTTCAGGTGCTTTCCTTCCTTTAGGAGGCTGACACAGCTGAGGGCTGGGCTTAGCTATAGGATTTAACACATCCATCTGCTGATTCTCATATATGGCCCTGCCACAGCATTCCAGGTTATTTAGCATAGCACTTCCTGAATCAATGTGGAACATGAAAAGCTCATTGAACAAAGCTCCAAGCAAAAATGCTGTATGAGCTTTCATAGTTAGAGCAGTAAATTAGTTTTTAAATTGTGGCATGTGGTAGGACTACACAAACCATGAAAAATCTCAGAAATCAAGTATCTATTTTTCGACATCTGAATGCATAAACACTCCGAGAGTGTGGCGAAGCACCACCTCTCTGGTAAGGCTCATGCTACCTGGAAATCTTCGAGAGTCAGAATCCAATTGCTTTTCTGGTTTTAATGGCAGGACAGTTGCAGCAGAGCAGGCCCTGTTTAATTCAAGTCTTTGATCTAGTCTGTTGGTATTTTTTGCGAGAACCTATTGCACAGCACCATCCTCACAGGTTAGCAGATCCTGGGATAAACAGAGGACCAGTTTAATGAAGCTACATTCCTGAAGGGCCATATGTCTGTATTGAACGTCCTGATCAGTCTGAGTTCAAACTACTCGGTAAAACCTCAGATATTTACATCAGAAATTCTCACTACTGTGAGAAACTTACAAATGAGTATGACAGATGACAACAAGCAAAATCATATTTAATCCATATAATCCTAAAGCACAATTTATTAATCTAATGCTGCATGGGTGTACATATATGTATGTTCTCTCTTTCTCTCCATATGCTTAATTGCTGCAAGTCTTAAATGAATTCAGCTTTCTACTACATGGGAGATGTATTTTTCTACATTAGACAGGATGACCAAGTTACACATTAGCTCAGTGGCAAAGCACAACTTTGGCAAAAGCAGGGAAAGAAACCTGATGTGATTGTCATCTCTGTGGCCTCACCATACAACTAGTTTTTGTCAGTAAAGCTTTTAACTCAAGCTAACATTTTCCCAACTAAAATCTGAGAAGAGTCCTACAGAGGTTCTGTGAAAAATGCTTATCCACTCCGGAGGTGAGAAAATTGTCTGTAAGAATATTAGAAGTTTCCTAGGTAGGTATATCACTTCCCATTTATCACTATTTCTACTAGCATTATTGCGAACACTAACTCTTCCTTTCTGAATTTTACCATGAATTATGTCCTGCTGCTCTCTGGTACATACAGGAAGAGAAAGAATACTGAATTGTACCATTTGGACACAAGAAGGCAGTGAAATATTGAAGACATTAGGCCTTAAAAATACCTGCAATGCAAACAGTCTACACCAGACTGTTTTGATCTTTGGATTCGAGTTAAATTCACACTGCAAATAATTTTCATGCATCTTTAATGTGATTTAGTTGAAGACTGTCACATTGGACATTTAAGTACATCACAAGTCTGCAAGACCTTCAATTAAGGCTAACTTAAAGGTTTCTCACCCTGAAACTTCAGATATATTTCGATCTGATTTTAATAACAGTTAATCTTTTCCATCTATACCAGCTGCAAGGCTATGAATAAATAAAGACAGGTTGGAATTTCAGCAGCCGAGAAAGACTGTGACAAGAATGAAAGTTGTCTTTTCCCCTCCTAGTGCAGGACAGCATCACAACCAACAACCTTGACCACTGTCTGGGTTCTTGTAGGCAGAGAGCCTGTATGTAAAAACCAAAAAGACAGGGGGGATTCTCCAAAAATTGCTGAAGATCATCAAGTGGAAAAAAATTACACCAGCCAAAGAATATGAAGGGAATGTTCCAGTAGTGGTTGGGACTGGTCTAACTCAAAACACTTCAGGAAACAGTGTTAGAGAGCACAACAAAACCAACGTGCTTATGCTTACATTTGCTGGAAACTATCTTTGAACTCAGCAAAGCTCTCTTCAGTTATTGTTTGCTTTTCACAGCCACCTGTACTCAAACGAGACACAAAAAGGATGTTACGAAAAGAGCTGTTGAGTAATTTCAAGACGGTATAAAAGTCTTCCTAGCTGTTCCAAAAGCACATAGAGAGGACCATGTTACCTCCGATACTTTTTGAGGAAGATGGAAAAATGTCAATAAAGGTTGTAGTACAGAGGGATGTGCTATCAGCCTGTGAACACCCCATCACTGACCATGTATGTATCTCCTTACAGCTCTTCTCAGCTGCTCAAAGCCTTTTCTCTTTCTTACACTACATGACAGAAGTTAGCAGTTTCCACTAGCAGAGGAAACAGTATTGCATGTGCCTGGAGATATTCTGCGTACTTGTACATGCTGCTTTTTCTTGCTTATTTGAGGTTATAACGTTGATAACAACTTGACTGTTGGGCTATAATTAATAATAAAAAAGCATATTTCAGCATCATAAAGCAGATGACAGCATTTGCTAAAAGCACTGTAGATTAAAATCACGTTTAACATTTCTTCAGTAACACTGTCAGCAATTAGACTTCCATAAAGTAAAGGTACAAAACCTACCAATAGTGAATTGTCCTACGAGATGAGCTGCTTGTTAGTCAAGTACTAAAGGAAAGTAACACTCAGATGAAATCCTACTCCAATTGTTTAAGCCAGTAAGTACAAATTAAAACTTACTTTATATTAACTGTACCAATGCTACAGGTAGGGACCTCCTCAGGGAAAAGGAACAAACCATGGCAGGCAAGTCAGAAAAATGGATGGTCCCTATCCCCGTAAGAGTGTACAATCCCAGAACCATTTCAGAAAGCTGTCAGTATCCCCAGCCATCCCAGACTGACACTCTTCCCAGCCTGGTGTTTCAAGATGAACCAAAACCTGAGCTAATTTATCATAATACACCACTCTGCAGCAGGTTAGGAGTTGATATCCCAAGCCTATCAAAGCGGGCACACCAAGGCTCATCAGAAAAAACAGGACAGATTACAATGGCAGCAAACAACTTCAGTTATCTGACTTTTTAAACCAGCAGCACAGCCTTGTCAAAATATTAACAACAAGATGAACACAAGAACCGAACAAGATAATATTAACCACTTTTACAGACAAATGCCTTAAAATAATAGTGTTAAAGCCACTGAGCTTTTCATAAGCCCATCTCATAGTGGTACCAGGAAGAGGAAAGACACAGCTTCTTAAAAACACAATTACTAAGGTGGGTCAGACTTTGCTCTCCTTTAAGCCAATGATACACCCTGCTTTTGAGATAGAGCAATAACAAACATAAGCCCCATAGCCAGAATCTAACCCAGTCATTGAAATTTGAGTTTCTCCCTGTATACAGTACGCAGCATCAGACACACGCGCTATAAAACATTCGGTGTGCTCATCTTTGTTCCATCTTGCTTGCAAAGTTTTTTGAGAATCATTAGCCAGGGAGCTCAGCTGGACTATTACCTGCATCATACTGCTGTTCTCCATTCATCTCCACAGTGGCCCAGTGGTTATTCTGAGCAGCCAGAAGCAGGGGAATCCGAGGCTGTCACGGTTTGGTGGTCATGAGTTGCCTCCCACCTTCGATTCTACTGGCAGCCAGGACATTCAATAAGAGATCCTGAAAAAAACCTGAAAGGAACAACTGATAAGTAAATCTTTATCGGATTTTAATTACTTTTAAGATACATTAGCAATATTACTCCAGCAATAAGCCAAAAACCTTAAAGCAAACAAAGGCATCTCACTGTGTTTACATATGTTTAGCTACTCCACACCCCTCATCTGCAGACCAAACTGATCCTAGAAAAAAAATAATTTCCTATATCAGTCAATTAAAAAGCTGAATTTCAAGATCTCTTCAGCCCCCCAACAAATCCACCCCTCTCAAAAGCCCCTTCAACCCTTCAAAAGGTTAAAGAAGCAAGGAAATAACCAAGTCATGGCTCAGAAATAAGACAACACAAGAATCCAGCTCCTTTGTCACCCGGATCAATGAAAATGTCTAAAATCACGAAAGCCAAGGTGATACTGGCAAAGAAAGCACAATAAGGCTTACAAAATGTCTCCTCAGGCTGTGGGTTTCCACTACTTTAGCCTTTTGCTTTCCACAAGTCTTCAGGCAATTTGCAACCCTGCTCTTGAATGGCTATAAGTTTAAATATATATACACATTTTAAACTTACTAGAGTCTTACTACAGTTCAATCAAGGAGCCATCACTTCATCACTTTAATAGGACTTGAAGGCACCAGTGAAACTGTTCTGCTATGACACAGTAGCTCATTTATTATAAAAATGTTGTTTCATATAAGTGGAAAAAACAATTAATCCTCTGCATACCAAGACACAATCAAGATATGTACTTTATTTTAATTTCATTTTACAATATTTTATCAGTCTTAAAATTTTCTTTGGTTTTTATGGCTTTTTATGACCATGGGTTTTGATGGTTTTTTTCTTTCATTTTACTGTATATTAGCTGGTAAAACATATTTGAAGATATTCAATATAGGTACAATCATCTGTCATTCTATATACTTAAAAGATGTCTGTCCTGACCTCACCCAATGGTTCTTCAAGGAGAAGGAGTCCTGTACAACAGCAGAGGACTGTTCCTAACTACACTACATTAAAATTATGATCCTGTGGTATGAGAAAAAACAAGCAAGTGATAGAACTCCAGCCTACCTGTAACACAGTCCTTCCACTCACCAAATTTCTTAAGCATCATCCTTCATCGCCAAGGGACACAGCCCCTCTCTACTCTCTTAATAGTCACCTTTGCCAATTAAGTCCCAAATTGTTTTGCAGATGGCATGACAAGAAAATTTTGCAGTCTGTTTTGACAAACTCAGCCTACAAATACAGAAGCTGTATAAATGTAGATGGTTGAACCATTTAACGTCTTAGTCTGTTACCCCAAACCAGAAACTACTGCCCTGCAGAACATCTCAGAATAGCACATGTTAAAAAAAAAATGCCCTGAAACTGGCTGGTTTTCACACCTCTGTTTTACTGCACACATGTGTGTGCAAAGATTGCTTTATAGTTGTGCAAGCTGAAGGGATTCCTGCCTCAATGTGTATCAGGGGAAAACAACCTTTTTTTTTAACCTACCAGGTTAAAAAAAAAAAAGGAAAAAAAAACTCCTAAACATTTTGTGATGAGAAGCCACAACTTTCAAATCTGTTCCTATCAGAAATTAAATCATTATTTCATTATTAATAGTAGAAACCAAGGAAGGACAGGTCTAAAGGAAGCCCACTAGTTCACTGCACTGGCAATGCACTGCGAGTATTTTTCGCTCACAAAATTCTCCACTAAAGCAACACTGTAGAATAAATACAAGCACAGGTTACATGTTTCTTTAATAATATCACATTTTGAGTGACAACTTTATATAAATCAATGAGATCGGGCATGAGTGGGCCTTGAAAACAAGATTATTGGCTTAAAAATTCTTGTAAAAAAAAAAAAAGATAATCTTCAAATACCCTTTAGCATTCTTGTGAAGGTCTGGGAAGCACCTGCTTTTTAAGAAAGATACCAGAAATAATGCAGAGGACTAAAAATCAGGTTTTAAAAAACATAGACTACACTTCTCACCTAAACACATTTTGAATAATTATCGTTTAAAAAAGGGAAGCCCCATGCTTTCGAAAAGTCTTAAGTTTTTTTTGAGTTTTGTATACCTATAGTGTCTATGGAGACTACTCGATAATCCTTAGAGAGGTTTTCCAGGAGGGTCCTTTTTTTTTTTTAAAGTTAAAGAAAGAAACCTATTTTAAGTAGGTTTTTTTTTCTACTACAGTATGGACAAATTCGTAGGAAATGAAAGTTGCCTAGCAGATGGAAACACAAGAATCTCACTTCAAAATGAGTATCACAAATGAGAGCTTTTCCAATACGACACTGCTTCTAAAGGTATAACCATGATTTCACTTCTGAAGGTGTAACTGGACTGGACACGCAATAACTACAAATGACTAAGACACCATCCAGCCTTTCTCTCTCTGAAAAAGCCTGTTGCATCTCACCACAACTGTAAGTAGACCTTAAGCAGCTTTACGAAGGCTGCAGTTGTGTTTTATTGTCATTCAAAGAAGCAGCTTGTGAACTACAGCTGGTCTGAAAAAAGTCTAAGTAAGTGCTTTTTCCTTTGAAAATTTGTCCACTTGTTAAAAATCGAAGTATTTTGAAGAAGTAGTTCCATTACAGGGAAGTTTACGTAGGAAAGTGCTTCTGCCACCTTGCCTGCCCAGTTCCTCAGCGGTCTCTCACGGTGAAGAGGGAGGGCAGCTCCCGTAATCCCAGGCATGAGGACTGGGTGGATGCCGGTGGCTGGAACCGGAAAGGGCAATGTCACTGTCCCTGCTGATAGCAGTATCTTTAGGCTCCCATGGTCCCTACGGAAAGCAAGTTAATCAAGACATGCCTCCACCATTTAGACACAGAGAACTTGGAAAGAAAAAAAAAGGGTAATAAAAACCCAACTCCAAACCTTCCCAAAGCATCATAATTCCGTTTTGGGAAGGATTTCCATGGCTTACTGGTAAAATGCTGTGTAGCAGGCTGCAAATGTCCTGAGCATGTCTGTGGAGCACACAGGCTTGCTAGCTGGCAATATCACACAAGTCAAACCAAATTTGAGATACACTTCAACTGAAGGTGAGATGCCAAAGTTGTACTGTAGACTGAACTACAGCCCTTGGCATGAATCTTAGGGAACTGCAGTGCAAAGCACTGAAAAGCCTGGCTGAAATCTCCTGTATACAACATCAGTAGCTTCCTTCACACACAAGTAAGACAACAAACTTGAATAGAATTAAAGAAATATCCTTGCTCAGTGGTGTAGGAAGTTCTCAAGTACAATCAAAAATACAGCCAACTTAAAAAATGTTCATTACATGTGAGAATAAAAAAAATTAAAAGTAGCAAGAGGTATCTTTAAGAGCTTCCACTGAACGGTAGCTTAATGCCCCAAAAATCTGCTCTGTAGAAGGTATTAATATGGTTTTATTCATTATAGCTTTAGGAATGTGCCTGAAAGGGAACTCAGCTGCCAGTTTCTGCTATACTGCTCCTAACCCGCCTCTGTCCACCTCAAAAAGACTATGCTCAGCATATACCTACAAGGTCACAAGTTAACTCCCAATCCAGCTCTGTCTCTATGAGAAAGTTACTGAGAAATTAAGCGCAGGTACCAATCTCTATCAATCTCCATTGGTTCCTTACGTACTTCTTCCATGCTCGCAGGACAAAGCAGTGCAAGGGTAAGTTGATGCAACCACATGTTCCCAGCCTACCCTTTCTGAAGACTTTCCTCCTGTAGACAGGCTGCGAGTCTAAGCTTCCATGTGTTCTATCCTTTATGAAGTAATGCTGGAAGATGATGTCAGTGGCAATCTGCACGATGCTTGGCACATGGTGAAGAACTAACCAACAAAATACTTTTTAATATTTAATCAAAATATTTCTTGGTAATGGCCTATCGTAAGTCTATCAGCTGCCACACTGCTAAGCCAAAACAAAGGTGATGCTGTGAAAAATGCCGAGCAAAGCATGTAGTCCAACAAATCTGGAGATGTGCCCCTGGTTTCCAATAGTGCAGCCCTGGCAAAGTACCCTCAGAATTTAATTGCAATTAAGATGTTTTCAGTCTATGGGATCCAGCTCTCAATTAACTTCTATAGCTAAACTAGGTGATGTAAAACTACCTTCATCTTTTTTTGCAACATGGAAATATTTAAGACATTTCTGCTCCCCCCCCCAAAAAAAAAAAAATAACCAACCCCAAAACCAAACACCAAAGAGGCTGTTTATTTAAAAGATGCCAAATGCTGGCAGCTCCTGTTGAAGTTGATTGATATTCTGCCCAAGTCAAGTTGGGTAGTTATTCAGGATTTCATAAGCAGCTCTGGTGTTTTACATACACAAAACTGAGCGTACTTGTAATTAGCAGCCGCCACTGCTGATGCTTACAGTCTGGCACCCTAAAGATGATATTTTGATAAATCTCAAGGGGAGGGGATCACAAGTGCTGCTGGAACAGAGCTGATTTGGAAATACTTTGGACTCTTCAGTCTCACTTCTGCATTTCAAACCTTCTTTCAGCACATGAAATATTCAGATGTTAGCAACTGGAGGCAGCATTAAAAACAGTTACAGTTCATTAAAGCCAGATGGCTCACTTGAATATGAAAAGAAATCAAACACAAGTTAGATGTTGAATTAAAGCAAATCAGCTGGTGTCTGAGGCTTAATATTATTTTAAAACAAAGGCACATGAGACAATGGGGACAGGAGACAACCCAACGGACTGGTGAAGAAGCTACAGAAAGGATCAGCTTTCAGCAAATTCCTTCATACAAAGGCATCCAGTAAAATCTATTTCAAAACCCTCTGTCTACAATGTAGAGTTTCACTCTGCACAAGCAGGCAGCAAACCTGTTGCAGAGGTCTGTCAGAGCACAGACGGGGTTCTTCAGCACCTGAAAACTACAACTCTGCTACTGAATACTGAGATAAAGCTACTGCTAATGCAACAAGGAAAGGTAAAGGTCCTTTTTGTTATTCTTGGACCATATCCTGGAGGTGAGAGGAGAGGGGGTAAATGTCT